CAGTTTGATCTCTGGAGCTCCACCCCAGCTCATCGTGTAACGAAAACTGTACACAGCAAGACAAGAAATATGTTGTGTTATTGTAATTCTTGCTCCTTGGGGTATACCTGTATTGATGAAAGCACAGATGTTATGAAAACCTCTTGGAATTGTGGGAAAACGCTTCGTGTTCTTTAAAAGTTAGGAATGTCTGTTCACATCATTGCTTCCACTGAACGAATCTTACTTTGCTTCTTTTTCCAAAAGGGTGCCGACTACCTGAAGACAAAACAGCAGCTTTACCTCAAGTGAGTAGAGTAGTTTCAAACTGTGAAGTGGTCTCGCTCGCCAAGTATTGATCTTTCATGCTTCTCGTTTCAGTTATTGTACGAACATCAGCTTCTACCTGGTGCTCAAAGCCAAACGAATCCCCGCTCACAACCACCCAGTCATCGAACGACTGCTCACTTATAGAAATGTAAGTCTTTACCTCTTCATTCATTGGCTAGGATTAGTTTATCATCGTTTCATGCTATTTGTCCAAACTTTGGAACCCAGACACCATGCAAATACACCCATTCCACCATCAATTACCGGCTTGCGTTCTTCGCTTGAATAATGAAGGCCAGATCTCAAAAAGATGGGTCCTTTGCTTACCCATTAGAAATCAAATAACAGGCGCTGTCACCAAGGGGCTGTACTTGGCTTGACTATGACATGATAGTAGATAGATAGATAGATGGTATCTGTAAAGCAGAAGTTTCTGAAGAAGTGTTGAATTGGGGTCCAAAACATTTAACCGAAAAAGATTATCTACATGGCATCTGTAAAGCTGTTGTGTACAGCAAAGTTTCACCATTCAGGAGCAAAAGCGTCTTAATATTTCAACATAGCTGCTAGATCATAATTGTTTAGCACAATATTCTGTCACTGCTCTAAAATAGTTGGCACTTAACGGGTGGTGATTCGTGAAAATGGCTGCCACTGAATGAGTTGAATGCAACAGTAAGACGGAGATGTGAATTCATGTTGGCGATTTGCCTTATGGAACGAAAGCTGACTAGCAGTTTGACATTGACCCCACCGAAGATTCGGGACATGGCATCTGTAAACCTGAAACCTGCATTACAGTGCCACGAAGTGAATTAAAAACTGCTCAACACCGACCCAAAGAGAATCACGATGTCGAATCTAAAGCTGAAGTTTACAATAATAATAATAAAAATAATAACAATAATAATACATTTTATTTATAAACACCTTTCAAAACACTCAGAGACTTTACAAACAAGAACAATAAAACCACAGATAAAATTATATAAATAATAAAAGAAGAGATGAATTTGAACTTTGTATTCGATTTTGAATAGGTGGGTTTTGAGATGGGATTTGAATGTGGGAAGAGAATCAATATTACGGATGTTGGGTGGAAGTATGGAGCATTGGAACAAAAGCTGTTCAACATTGACCTGAGAAAATTGTTCTAAGGCCTATGTAAAGCTCAAGTCTTCTTGCCTGCAGCTCATTAATGAATTGAGTTCAGTTGATGCCCGCCTGGCACCGCAGTACAGCAAGCTGCTGGCTGCTCAAGAGGAAGAGATCACCAGCAGACCAGTGGCTGAGAAGAAAGCTGCCGTATCCACCAAAAATGACAAGGTGAAAAAAAAACCCATCGGCACTAATGGACTGTGCATGCACCATTTCCGCATTTGGGATACGACGACGTGCTAACTTCCGGGTAACTAATGCATAGCGACAACAATGACAGCTTCAAACTCTTGGAATGAGATCAAGTTATCATAAATTCTGAATTACCTTTCTAATTGCTCCAGTTATCCAAGTAACAATCCAAGCATCTATATCTTGATTTATTGAGCCATTTGCAGTTTTACAAGAAATGAGGTCTGCTTGTGGATAAACTTGCACAACATTTTGAGATGTTCAACTCAAATTTGTTCATAGACCGCAAAACAAGCCACCACTTTCATAAAGTGCTCTATAAAAAGAGTGAATAAAATGGATTAGAAAGCCTTTATTGTTACGCTCTATGGTGCAGCTGCAGTAAAAATTGAGGTTGTGAACTTCGACAACCACAATAAAATGATAACAATAACTTGCATTTAATCACTGCCAGGATGAGCACGGTGTTGAATGTTCACAGGACTCGAGAACTTCTCGATTGCCATAAGCGCAGGGGGCAGTCCCCCGCTCGCTGCATGCTGAGCCGGGACATGAGGGGAGGGATGGAGCTTGAACCCTGGCCGTGTTTTTGTTGCATGGTCAAATTGGCTCGATGAATGCATAAACTGTCCGTCTCCTTTGTAACAGCGGCAGATAAACGTGTTAAAATGAAAAGCCGAGTTAACTCGCTGGACAAAACTGCTGGCTCGCCACAACATGGGCTGGAAGGGCTATCCCTACATTTCCACCTAGAAAGCCGAATTATTAAATGTACTTATTACACAAGCCCACACATACTGTATCACACATCTAAAGAATGAGGATATTTTTCGTCCAGATGGCGTCACCGTAGCTTGAAACAAGCGAACACCAGGTGGAAATGTGTCGAAGTGTTGCCTTGCATATGGTCCATTACTGGGGGTTAACAGATGCTAATGAGGGCACGTTTGTGGATGCAGGATTCCGGCAAAGTGGTGGCAGAGACGGGCACTGCCTCTGACTTGGACCTGGACGAGGAGGCAGCGTTGCGATTCTACAGAGAAGTGGAGGAAAGGATGAAGTTGAAGAGGAAGAACAAACCTCAGAAAGCTGAAGAGTAAGTTTGGATTGTGAACTCAGGATCCCCCAAAAAATCGTTTTCTTCATTGTTGACATTGTTGCAGGATGAAAGATGTGGATGAAGAGGAGGAGTTAGATTCAGAGGCGAAGAGAGGCATCACGTACCAGGTAAGTGAGCGTTGCAGTGATTAGTCAAATAATTCAATTCGATAAAAAAAAAAAATAAAAAAAATCTAAACAAAATCTCCCTTCATTTTTCCACAAGAACTATGTAGTCACGGTCGCACAAATCACTGTTTAGCAAAATCCATTTTGATCTGATGACCTGTTTCTAAAAACATTCAATAGCTGTAGGCACGGTGCCATCTAATTATCTCATTGCAGGATGCCGTATTGTTGTGCGAGAACTCAAAACAGTTACAGAAATATCCCACTTTTACTGGGTTCTGCGTAAAAGTCGTAGCAATAGCTGACAACTCTACAGTTGTAATGGGTCCATTTTGCAGAATCTCTGTATGAACGAGGCTTTTCTGGCTTTGCTGGGTAGTTGTGCATAAAAGACGTAAACCCACACAAATACAGCAAATGGCAGTTCTCTTGTATTGCAATTTTGCGGGATCTATGTGAAGCTTATGCTCTCTCACAGGGTTCCGTGTAAAATGCAGAATGCACACGAATAGATGCCAAATTCGCTGTTGCAATGTGGAAGTTTTGCAGGATCTCTGTGCGAAAGAGGCTTACACAATTCAGCTTTGCAGAGTTACAGAAACATTTTCTTTTTTCCCCCCACAGAGATTCTGCAAAACCGCAGCATCAAAGCTGTAAACAGAACCCAGCGTAATATTTCATAAAACAAAAATACTAGCCAGACCACCTCCCTTTTCAACGACGGTGCTTTCCAACGTCAAAATGTTCCAAACAAATCCTAATTTTACGCCTTGTTGCAGATGGCCAAGAACAGAGGACTCACTCCCAAGAGGAAGAAGATTGACCGCAACCCCCGAGTCAAGCACCGAGAGAAGTTCAGGCGGGCTAAGATCCGCAGAAAGGGCCAAGTGTGTAGTCCCTTCGCCTGAACGTAGTTTGAGTGCACGCTTATGTTCAATATTGACCGGTTGTCTCTTCATTAGGTCCGTGAGGTTCGGCGGGAGGAGACGAGATACAGCGGAGAACTATCCGGTATCCGCGCAGGTGTCAAGAAGAGTATCAAACTCAAGTAACAAAAGGAAACACCACATTGCGCTGCAAAGCTTTGTCACACGGAATCTGTTTAAGATTTTGAAAAATCGAACTGTGGTAAAACATAGTTGGATAACAAAACTGATATCATGCCAAGTGAATAAACGTTTTACAATCTTTTTAATACGTTGTTAAAAGGTTAAGAACATTGTGAGAACCAACATTGAAATAATAAAATGTCAGTCATTGAACATTCCAGTTAAAGTTAGCATGAACATTCAAATCCTAACTCTTTTAATATGAATGATAATTTTGTTCAATAGTGACATTTAAATAAGAAATATCTGGAAAGGCCTCTTTAAGGACCTCTACAATGGGTTGTTGCAAATAGATTTTTGGAGACTGGTGACATTTTTCAAGAAAAACTATTGTTTGGGGAGAAGGGGTCATGCGAGGACGTGATGCCAAAATAACGATCGATCTGCAGTGTCCTCATCAAGGCTTTTTAATTTTATATTTGACTCAACGTGGGTTGTGGCAAATGTATTTTTAAACTTGCTTACCAGTAACAACAAAAGGTAATTCAATAAAGGTGAGGGTTTCAGATCTCATCAAGCCAAGTCAGATGTCAAAAAAATAGATCCAAAGTAAAAGTGATCACAAATTAAACTTGGCCTCCTAAAGGGGAAGTCATGAGTCCAAAATTTTCTTTACAATATGTTCTATGTGGCCCCACTGGTCTAAACATTCTGATTGACACTGCGTTTGTGGAATATGAATTAAGCAGCAAAATCCACTTGTTTTTATCCAACTCAGGCAGCGGCTATTTTGTCACTTGCTGTTGACTGAAAATGACATCACAAGTGTCTTAAGGGCTCAGCTTGCGAACGACATGACCAAACCCAGAAAATAGGTGAGCAGTGGTTGTTCGTTACCTGAGCAACTGTGATGTCGTTTTCAGTCAACAGCAAGCGGATAAATGGCATCCCTGTTAGATGGATAAACGTGTGGATTGGACCACTTCATTCATATTCTATAAAAGCATTATTAATCAGATTGCTGTTTAGACTAGTGGGGTTGTGTAAAACATTGTAAAAAAAATGTTGGATTTGACTCAGCCTATAAGTCCTGCAACTTGTTGAGGCATGAAAGTACTGCGCCCTAAATTATTTTGCTCCTTAACATCCATAATTCTGAAACCGCATCAAGACACCTACACACAAACATTGCACATGATTCTTTGCTTTCAATTCGTGAATCATCCCTCTTCGACTGCAAAGCTAAGAATCAAGACAACATCCAGGTGATGATGACAGCGATGGCACTCAGCCCACTTGTTGCCCAATGAAGTGCTTGTGGGCCGCGGTCAAATTAGTCACGATCTTCTCCTCGATCTCCACCTGGTTGTCGACGTCCTCCTTGGAGAGGACCACCTCGTGTTGGCTGGTGGGCGTCACCACCACCACATGGCCCCGCCGTGAGTCCAAAACATTGGCGACCACCACCTGGTGCCTGTATGTGTCCAGTGCTTGTCGAGCCTTCTCCAACAGGATGGCGGCATCCGTCTCCAGTTTGAAGGATATGACGAACGCCCGCGGCGCCCAGTCTATCACCAACGGGGACAGAATTTTGGGCACCATCTTCAAGCTCAGCTGTGGGCAGATAGGGATTCATTGTTGAGATTTTTTTTAAATAGACCACATTAGCAGGGTACGTACATATCGACTTTTAACATTTTTATTGATTTTTTTAAAAGGCAAGAGTGCACCGTTTTAAATGTATTTCTGGCTTACTTGAAGCGGTCCATTGGAAGACTGGATTTTGTGCTCTGGCATGTCACACGCGGGGATGTAGAAATCTGACACAGCCGCTGCCAAGTAAAACATGGCCTTGGATCCTAAAATCCAGAGGTCTGTTAGTGACATGTGAACATAAGTTGACACGACATCCGTTTACATCTACCTATGCTGCTGAGGGCCTGTGCTGATGCCTTGAGGAGGTGCAGATAGTCAGACAGAGTGCTGAACTCGACGGGAAGCAGCAGTTGGCTGGCTGTGACTTCCTGATACTTCTTCAGCACTTTGGCAATGTTTGGGAGCACCTGCGGGTTCACCACCACACGGTCCTGATCCCCGCCCGAAAACTGCAGGGCATCCAGCACATTGATAGAGGAGAACGTGCGAGCATATGGATAGAGTGAGCGATGCCTGTGCAGGAAGACAACGGCGTAACCGGCGTCCAGGAAGTACTCTGCAGATTGCGCTCCCCTTCTCCCGCTACTAAAATTATCAAGGAAGCGAACGGTGCGCGACTCCAATGGAACTTTGGTGCCACCCGATGTGATGAGGACCACACAACGGCCCGCCTCGGCATGGAGCCGGGCGAAGGCGGTCATCCTCTCCCGGACCTCGTCCACTTGCGATGGAGCGGCGAACTCTTCAGCCAGCTTGCCATCGATGGAAGACACTCTGGGTTCTGCCATGGCCTGTTGCTGTTAATATTTGTGGGTAGGTGGGGAAATTAGTTTTTCCTTATCTAAGTCTTGAAGTTAAACTTAACACCAATCAGTTTCATTTTCTATTCCCCAATCACTTTCATTTTCTATTGCCCGCCAACGCAGAGTACAGTAATAACAAAACCTACAGCTGTCACTTTTGGACGAACACAAGGTGAACTATAGTTTGTCTGCGACTTCCTCATGTGTCCGTGTCGTAACCACGCTTTAATTTTTGGAGAAAAACAGCACGTCGTGAAAAAAACTTACTTTTGAGTCCAAGGTGTGAAGGAAGATGCGTAAACTGTGAAGCCGAGGACCTCGAGTCGCAACTTTGGCACTTCCTGGAACTGAGGACCGCTGTTCTTCGCTTTGTTGAGAAGTACATTAGCGCCCCTAAGCGGGTATCTGTTGTACTACTGTCATACTGAATGATGGACGGAGGGAGGGATGGATTGATGGATGGATGGATGGATAGATAAACGCAGCATATACATCCCCCTGTTCTAATGCCATTGTTCTGTGGAAAAAAAAAAAGATGAGATAACTAATCTAAAAACTTTTGATGGAACTGTTCATAATTCCCTCCACCTTGGCACCGTATCAGTGTGGTGTTCTTTTGGAGATTAGTATGTTGTGTTTGTGGCATGTCCCATACATTTTGGAATTATAGGCAAAAACTTCATCTTCACTTGACCCTAACATAGTTAATGCGTTTGGAATATTTTGTCAGATATTTTATATCCAGTGTACATAAATGGATGACGATATAGATAGAGGAATGATTTTAAGGCGATTTAAGGTCATTTATTTACTTTTCGGTTGAGACAGAGCGAGCACCATGCACAAACACAGAGCATGTTTCTGAGGAAGGGAAAAAGGCTCTTTATTTTCACACTTGGTGCGTAGTTAATCATATTAGCTTTTGAATTAAATCTTTTTTTTCATAAGGATAATATGTGGTAAAATGTCATAATTTTGTTGTTCAATAATTTGCTTTGACTTTCAAAACCAATGCCTAAATAGTACCAGTAATTCATCAACGGGGGACGCTGTTGTATTGCTGAATAGAGCGCACTGTCTGCAGCAACCTTTTTCTTTTTCTTGTAAGAAGTCACCTGGCCAGTTTTTGCCTGGATATAAATACTTTCCCATTTATCAATTAAACGTGCACTTATCAGAGACTGTGTTATGCTGTAATTGAACACTATGTCAGATAAAATTACTACAGTGCAGAAACGAGTGATGTTTTTATTTGTGTATATGTGTTAATGGTTTATTTTTTTTCCTTTTACAACTGTGATTTAGGGCTTTATTCATGTTGACTTTTTTAAAACCATGCAATAACCTTTGAGTTCTTGATAATCAGGAGCACTAATAACTTTTGTGCACACACCCAGAACTCTGTACCTATTAATACATCTAAAATTAAATCCTGTAATACATTATTTGATACAAGTAGGAAACTTTTTTTAAAGCAACAAGGCTAAGAAAATGGTTGAATAAACATTTGCTAGGGCAATGGGGACCCTCGTGTCGATAAAGCAGTTCAGAGGATGGATGGATGGAGCTATCCGCAAGTATGACATATGTCTGTCTGTCTGTCTGTCTGTCCATTTCGCTCTCTATTTCTCTCTATATATTTCTCTCTCTATCACATCATATACATGTATATATGATATTTACTGTACATACATTACAATATATAATTATTTTGAATATGTACTGTAATATACATCAGAATATTAGAACCTTATGCAAAATGAGTAATAACATATCCAAATGACAAAACATCTAATTCATCAAACATTTCATTCCCCGTTTTGCAAGGACAATGGAGATGAGATTCCTCGCGTTCTTTACCTCGGACTAATTTCTATGGCGGCAGCGGCGGCGACCGAGTTGGGGGGGGGGGGGGTTTGGGGGGGGGGGCAACAACCCTTCGTGCACGTCGACGTTCGCCAAAAAAGTAGATCCGGCGAAAGCGCGGAGAGTCCCGGATGTTGGCTCGGCCGCGGAGCGAGAGGCGAAGCGGGGAGAAGGCAGGCAGAAGCAGAGAAGCAGAGAAGGGACGCCACGGCACCGTAGTCACACCGGCGAACCTTCGGCAGCTCTTTGCCCGGGTCGACAAGCGTTCGAGCGCGCGGGGGACACTCTCGGGGGAACCCGCCGGGCCACAGGAGGCGGACGGCGTCAGAAGGCGGGAGCAGTTAAGTGCGAAACTACAGCGAGGATTACGCAGACCACCGTCAACATCAGCTCTCTCTCCCCACAGAGTAAGTGAGCCACTCGGGCATGCAAGTTGAACTAGGGCCCGAGAAATGGACGACTTTTTGTCGCACAAAGTGTTGTGCGTTCAAGTTCTCACATCGAGGAGGGAGGAGGGGCGGGCTGGGGGGGGGGGGGGGGGGGGGGGGGGGGGGGTTGAACCCGGCGCGCAGGCCCCGGTTGACAGCTTTCCGCTCGCCGTGGCAGGGGGGCGAGCTTAGGGTGGCTAGGCTGGGGGAGACACCCTCTTTTCTGGGTGTAATGTAGTGACGTACCCCAGCTCTCTTCCACAGCTAGCCTAGCTGTTTGGTATGCGTGTGCAGTAGGAAGTATGTGTGCGCGTGTGTTTCTTTGCCTGTGTGTGTGTGTGTGTTTGTCTCATTTGGCTTTCCTGCGTGCCCTGGTGGCATTTGACTCACAGCTGTTGCAGTGTGTCCCCCCCTCCCTCACTGTCAATCGTGTCCTCCTCGCACACCGCCATTGAATTCCTCCCTAACATAAATATATTCATACTTATGCTTCGAGGCTCAACAAGTGCAGCATATGAAACCCGGCGGCCGGCCACAACATTAAATACACCCGCACGACACTATAAACGCGTCCGTTGCCCCCCACCACCTCCAAATCTGATGACAATGCTGTGTTTGAACATTAGGGGCGTGTCACCCCCCACGTGCATGTTAATATCGAGTGGCCTTCGATTTACGACAGCCTAGTTCCTACGGCGACAAATCCGTATGTAAGTCGGAACATGTTACCAGCACTTGGGGCCAGAAAGATCATCTGTTGTGTCGCAGGAATTTCCCAGTTTAACTCAACTGGTCTGAAAAGTATTTATTTACTAAATGTAGCATATATTTGGTGATCTATCTGTGCCAATGACAGTGACTGGCAGAAAACTTAAAATGCTCTTTAACCACGACATATCATCATTTCAGAGTACTGTATTGAACCCCTGCCGATTCTTGGTGTGCTATTCACAAATTGACCTATTTCTGTGGAACTGACCGCCAGCTATTTTCTCACAAACTTCCCACTTTGCGTTTTTTTTTTTTTTTGTGCGTGTCCTTTCTGAAATGCCTCAAGATGTCACCAATTCCCTGTGTAAAGAGGAAAGTAGTACAGTATTTGCTGTGAAGGAAATATGGTGAAGTGATGCATCTTGACTGAGAGATGAGCTTTGCATAATGGGGAGGAGCTAAATTTAGTCTGGGTTGTTGGTGTTAAGTCATGGAGAGTCTGCCATGTGCATATAATTGAGCACTTTGGGTATAAACAGTTTTAAGAGTAATATTGTAAAATGAGTTTGAAATAATATTTTAGTCCTTTTTTCCCTCTTTTTTTTAGCTATTTGTGCCAGTGCTCGCTGTACTTTACTTCCCCAGATGCACTTTTTGTGATATTTTGTTGAGAACCAGTAGTTACTAACTTATGCTAACACAGTAGTTATGTCATAATTTCATTTAATATTTGTATAAAAACTCTAAAATAATCAAAGGACAAATACTATGACAGTCACTGAGCACACCTTGTTGTGTCGCAAGGCATTAAATACATTACTGCGTCGTGCATTCCTGCTAGTAGTCTGCACGTCTGCCACACCGTCGAGGGTTTTTCTGTTCACATCTGGAGTGGAGTTTGCATATTCTCCCTGTGCTTGAGTAGGTTTTCTCCAGGTACTCTGGCTTTCTTTTACATTCCAAAAACATGCACATTAGGTTAATTGAAGACTGTCCATATGTGTGAATGACTTTACGTTTGTCTGTAAAGCATGCGGCTGGACAGTGCCGTGTGCAGGTCAGTTGGGATAGGTTCCAGCTTACTTGTCACTCAGATGACAAACTGTTTAGAAAACGGATGAATGGGTTGTGCATGCCTCCATCCTCTAACTGTCCCAACTAACCTCAGACTGAAAGAAATGCCCGTAATATTAGTCAGCACCCGCAATGAAAGGTCAGACTTGGTTTTGCATGTTAATCACCTTTCCTTTAAATGTGAGTGAGTATTCGTGCATGCAGCTTCACATATTCACACACACACACACACACACACACACACACACACACACACACACACACACACACACACACACACACACCGTTAAAAGTCATACAGTTTTCTGGAAAAGTGAGCTTCACAAATTTTAAGACAGTAGTTGGTACTTTGAGATGCAGCAATGCCTCATGCAATATGCGTACAGCAAATATCATGAAAGTTGATGAGGAATTGTATGCTTTTATTTGTTTTTGACCAATCAGATGCAGCCTTAAATGTGAATCACCATCCAAAGGGAGAACAGTATTAAGGGGCATTACAAATACTAGATAACTTGATTAGATAAAAATGCAATAATCATGCTTATTTTTCCACATTAAAAGTACTAGTTCTTTCATTAGATGATGAAGAAATAATTTAAGTACATGTAAAATATCGCATATTGGATGTTTTTCCAGTATTGTGCTGCCCTAGTTGTGAGCAAAAATTTAAGATACAAGCACTGCCTGTTAGCAGTGATCTTAAGTCGCTGTACAGTGTTCGCCTGGAAAAAAATAGCTGAAGCTAGCGAGTCTACACACCATTCTCATCCACCACCATCATCTTATTTTCATACTCTCAGACCCGTGCAAATGTATGAAGACTGTCAAAAGTCTTCTGTAAATTGGCTGACTGGAAGACAGGATGCCAAAAACACACGATTAGCACTGAGTGAACATTAAGCGTTAAACATTGACGTGGCGTTGCAGAGCTGACGAGTCCGCTAATCGGTTCAAATCCGGACCCTCTGCCCATGTGTATTTATACACTTGTATGACTTCAGTTTCTCAGTTTCTACCTTCTTTGGGGGGTTTTGATATTTAATTGCCACACCACCGAATATGCCCATCTGTGCATCATTTCATAGATTACTCATGATGCGACACGCGACAATTTTGGATGGATGTCAATGGCGAGGCTTGTGATTGTGAGTAGGAAGTGGTGGTGGTGGGAGGTGGGTGTGCTTTCACTGCCTCATTTGGAATGCGGCGAGTGGCCCTGTGCCTAGCCCCCCTTCACACTGAGAGCCTTTTTAATTTCTCCCCTCGTTGAAGTGATTATTCAAATGGCCATCCGTGAGGTGCAGTTATCAGACTCCTGGTGGTAGTTGAGCCTGTGGCTACATGCATACTCATCTCACGCGCACACGCACACACACACACACACACACACACACACACACACACACACACACACACACACACACACACACACACGCTACTGTGGTTGGACAGCACCGAACAACAGGTACCCTCTGCAGCAAAACCCTATTAGACCACTACGTCTCAGCCCTCAGGTGAAAAATCTATTGTGCTATGTGATTGGCAGGAGTCGATTTATTCATGAGGATGCCAATATATTTTTATTTATGATGTAGTAACTTTTTGGGGGTTGGGGGCTAGTATTATTCAGTACAAATCTAGAACAGTGGTAGCTGGAACACTATCTCTCTGACAATTGTCGACTTTCAAAGTAAAAGAGATCCATCCATTTATCTGTTGACTATAGTACGTGCCCTCAGCGGGTTATGGGTGAACTGGAGCATCTGCTGGCAGTGTACACCCTGGACTGGACTAGAAATAAGTTGGCACAATGGTAGCGAGCCAGGAGGATGGAATACATAAAAGACAGAGAATGTCCAACGTTTGGGATTATTTTGACACTTTAAAAAGAATGCAAGTTGCAATATATCTTCTGCAATGTCGAACTAACGAATGTACCACAACAACCAAAACACACACACACACACACACACACACACACACACACACACACACACACACAATCGATGTTAGCTTATTTGTTATAGCCTACCACTGCTCGTTAGAGCTTATTATAATGCCTCTTCAAGTAGTCAAGGATAGACATGGCCGTTGGTGGAGAAATGCATTTTTGAACAAACCGTAATGAAATTACACGAGATGCTGCGACCACAACTGACTCCCAGGTATTGAACCGTTCGCAGGCTGGTTAACGGTTACTGAATTAACACCCAGCTGCTAATCTGTGCTCACAGCTGCCAACTTTACCGTCACTCTGATTCGCTGTCTTGCTCTCACATTACTCACCGAGCCAGGCACCACACGTTTCCAATGATTTGATAAAACAATAGAATAATCGATAAAAGAATCAAGTCTGAGGTCATTGTGTAGTCATAGCCATTCAAAGTGTTTTAATGATGACGACGAATTAGAACAAAAAAAAAGTACTGAAGGTCGTCCTCGTCATGTTCAAGATTCATTACATGAAACCGGCATAAGCATGGGGGTACAACAAAGCGTGAGTTGCGAACCTCATAATTGTGAGGCAGACCTGCTAAACACTACTTCATCGTGCTGCCGCTCACAACACACAGGCTTGTTCATTCTTTGGTGTTGGCTGAATGAGGTGGAGTAAGGTGCAGCCATATTTCTCCACAATTTTGACCTTCAATCTACCACTGCATAATTTTTGGGTGCTTTGACTAGTGCTCATGTATGCTGTTATGTTTTTTGAATTTTTTTTTTTTAAACTCCAATTCCAAAGTGCTTTCAAATTCCTTTGGCATTGAATCTTAAGTCACATTCGGTCACACAATTGATTTTTAAATTCTAGTTCACCTTGAATGCAGGTATAAAGCTTTCCCTTCCTTCTCCACCGCTACAGATGCTTGTCCATGCTGACCAGTAACCATTTTTTTTTTTTTAATTCAAAAAAAAAATCCCTCCTCTCACTTTCAGTTGGAGGCCTAACTGTGAGGAGGAGGAAGTGGCTCAGTCTTCATTAGAGGCGCTGTGCCTCCTCACTAGAATGCAGATGAGGCGTGAAGCCATTCATCCGTTCGGAAGCGCCTCCCCGATTCCAATTTCAGTCTTGTTTGCAGTCACATTGTGTGAGCCCACTTCTCTGTGTTCGAGAAGTCTCTTTACAGGGGGGGAGATCAGAGGAGGATAATTGCACTTAAGTGAACCTCATTTAGTGCTGGCCAGAGCAA